TTGGCACTCTTACTAAAAAACTAAAATTTTCAACTCTAACTTGTTGGCACTCTTATTAAAAACTAAAACCTTTAACTCAGATATTTTAATTCAAACCTATCTATATTTTAATTAAAACAATCACACTTACAGTTCTTTATAAGATTTTTTAAATTATTTTAGAAAAAACGGGTCTCCATATAAAGTAAGTTGCTAAACCAAGGTAAGGTATAAACTGATAATTGATCAAGAATGCTGTGCAATATCTGACTGACTATCGAACATAAAATACATACATAACAAAGAATAAATTTTTTTAGTAAGATTAAGTATATATATCTCCTATATGTCTCCTCCCCTTGAAATTTACCGTCAGCGAATTAAAAAGCAGACGGTCACTATTTTTTTGACGTGCGCGATTTCTAAATTTTCAATTTAATGTTAACATATAAAAGCATCCAAAAAACAATCTTATACGCTTAGATTAAATGACATTGCATTAGTAAGTTCTTAAGATTAAATGACATTTATTGTGACATTATTTATATAATTAATGACATAAATAACATAATTAATGACAATAATTGACATTTATTGTTGACATTATTTATATAATTAAAGTACTTAGTTTTTCATAAATATAAGAATATTTTTAGAGATTTTTAATGATTATTTTGAAATTATGTAAATAAATAAAAGTATTATCACTACAAAAAAGAATTCTTGCATTTTTAAAAACACGTCTAAAAATTATTGGCTAGCGCTAAAAAAAGCACTGACCGCAATATTGGCTGGCATGTTGACAAACGCAAAATTAAAAGAGCGCGAAAGTGCTTGCCAAATGGAGGCGAATGATATATATATATATATATATATATATATATATATATATATATATATATATATATATATATATATATATATATATATATATATATATATATATATATATATATATATATATATATATATATATATATATTATATATATATATATATATATATATATATATATATATATATATATATATATATATATATATATATATATATATATATATATATATATATATATATATATATATATACATATATATATATATATATATATATATATATATATATATATATATATATATATATATATATATATATATATATATATATATATATATATATATATATATATATATATATATATATATATATATATATATATATATATGTATATATATATATTAAGTTATTTACAACCACAACACCATAAAAGATTATTGCTTATAACTGTTTTTGGCGCTTCAACACACTCTATATGGAACCATTCTTTGCATAACCCACATTGTATCATTGGTTTTTCATTGCTCGGCATTCTGCAATTGCAATATATATCTAAAAATTCGACCTTTGAAATATGTTGGGAAATTCTCCGCGGCTTAGATGAAAATTGTGTCAACTCTAATTTTTAAAATGACTTTAACAAATGTTTTCTCATATCTTCCTGAGTGTACTTTACAATAGATGGATCTCCTCCAAAGCAAAGTTCACAAGCGTTTGCAAGTGCAAAAAGTCCACAGTCATCTGAACCCAACGATACTGAACATTTACATATTCAATTTTAACTTTTTTAGTGGTAGAGCACAAAAGATCAGCAACTGTGTTCTTTAGCAACAATGTCAACTTATTATGCAAGCTGTCATAAACCCTGACAGTCCCCTGTGTACAACCTAATGTAGCTATAGTGATCCAATGCATACCATTGTAATTCAGACACTGAATAAATTCTTTATTCTTTTGAACCTCAAATCTATTTGTTAATTGTAAAACGGGATCTTGAAACCCTGATAAATGAGGAAAAGCATCTTTAAGCATTTGCATTCCGGAATAAATAATTGTGTCATTAAGCCAATCACCATTTATCAAAATATTTTTATCATCTACTGAAAGTGCTACTTTTCTAATATGTGTAAAATCACAACCACCAATAAAAACGGTCTCTTCTTCTGTGCATACTTCTTCTTTAAGACAAATAAGTTCTGCTTGAAAAGCTTCCTGTCTATTTAAACATATTCTATTTGGATGACAATGACTCTTGCATACCACACCAGACTGTTTGCAAGGGCATCGCCTTGTAGCACACCTATTTTGGTTGAACAAACCAAATTCATTGGATAGATTTCATCTTCTATTTTAACTTCTGAATCATCAATAGTGAAACTATTTATATTTTCTTTTAAGCACTCATTAGCATAGTTTAGTGCATCTACTGAAGGTGAGCCATTACGAGGGGTACTAAATTTTGGAGGAGTTTTATTTAAACCCTCATAGTTATCATTATTTGGTTCATTTTCTGATATCGAGTCTGATGATTCAATAGTTGATATTGAGTCTGATGATTCAAAGACTGAGGGATTCGGAGAAGTCACTTCATCATCAAAACATTGATTAACAAGAACTTCTTCATCAGAAGAACATGTTTTGCAATTTTGTAAAGTAGGACCTGAAGGTTTATAGATTTTAAAATGACCACCAGTAGCACAAATCGTAATGCCTTTATTATCTTGAAGTTTGTATACTCCATGAGGAAGGCAACTAAGTATTTTATATGGGCCTACAAATCTATCATTTAACTTACCTCTTTTGGTTTTTTTACGTCTATGATTTAATTTTAGAACCAATGAATTGACTTTAAAGACCCCAGATTTTGAGTGCTTTTTATCATAATTTTTTTTTTTTGCTTAACTTGAGCTTTTAAAATATTTTGTTCAGCTTCTTTTAAAACTAACTTGTATTCTCTTTGCAATATGTCTGCCTCCTTTAATTTAAAACAATTTGAACTTAATTCTTCCAAAGACTCTGTCTGGAAATCTACATCAATTGGAAGATATGCTTGTCGACCATACATCAATTGAAAAGGTGTGAGCTTTGTGGAATCATGACAAGATGTATTGTACGCAAATGCACAGGTATCTAGAAAAAGACTCCATTGTTCCTTTTTGGAGGATACATACTTTACTAGCATATTCTGCAAAGTCTGATTAAATCGTTCATCAAGTCCATTAGCCTTAAATGGAAAACAAATTGTTTTATTATTTAAATAATTTAAACTAATTAACCTAGTAAAACAAATAACTTGAGATATTATTATCTTATTTCTTTACTAACCTTTTCACTAACAATAAATTAACATTTAACTTACTTGTGGCTAATATGGAGTTGTGAGCCTTTTCTTTATACCAAGCAATACATTAAGGGTATTATTAAATTCATTGCAAAATTCAGTCCCATTATCTGACAGCAAAACTCTTGGCACTCCCAACCTCATGAAAATCTGAATGATAGACTTCTGATAATATGAATACGCTAATTTAATATTATTATTATTATTATTATTAGTCGAGTTATGTCATTTTCTAGGCTTTTCTATTTCAAAGTAGTTTCTAGGCTTTTCTATACGCGTTTTTTTTTTTTTTTAATTTTATTTACTAACAACGTGTATTACGGGTTGCTTACTGCTAGTATGATAATAGTACCATATACATTAGAGCCCTGCAAATCAGCATTTTTTGTTTTGAACCAAATCTTTAATCAAAGCAGGTCTTGATTCGCGTTTCGAATCACATTTCGAATCAATATTTTTAAAACTAATATTAAACTTTATTTTTGAATATATATTCAAAAAAATATATAAATAATTGTAAAAACTTTTTTTTTGTGCTTCTTGCCCTGATTAACATTTTAAACGATTGATTAAGAAGGTATTTATGTAAGCAGCAAGTACAGTGACAAGAAAACCACATTTTGTAAAAATAGACTAAGGTTATGGGAAGAATTTAATGAAATCAATTATTAAATATGTATTTTTTTTAAGGCCTAGGCCAAAACAATCAAGGCCAAGGCAAAAATTTTCAAGGCCAAGGCCAACAGTTTCAAGGCCAAGACATCAATTTTTGACCTAAAGGAAAAGCCAAGGTTAAGGTCAAGCCCAAGGACTAACATCTCTGGTGGTATTTTTATCTAATGTTATTATTATATATTTTTGCTATAATTACTATTATTACTGTTATTATTATTATTATTATTCTCAAAACTATTGTAAAATGATAAACAGAAAATAAATAGCTTGTTGTTGTTGTTGGTATATAACCACTTTTGGTTTTACATGACTTTTATCATACATATTACATACATATACATATTTTTAAATGTTTTAAGGGACGTCGTTTGACTGTTCTAGGGAGTGTGTGTGTGGGGGGGGGGGGCAGCTCTCCCCCATGCCTTATACTAAATCCGCTACTGCATGTTTCATCAATCTTGTGCATCGTCTTTCTTTAACTCTTTCAAAAATTTTCTATACCTACCTCATAAAACTTCTTTCTAAATGCTGATACCCAATCAGTACCACCTTTACGCTCTACATACCCAAACCAACTTAATTTTCCCTAGTGCATCCTAACAAATACACAATCAGATTCCTTTTCAAGATCATTACTTTTGATCTCTAAGATCATCACATTTGAACTCTTTAGAAAGATGTAATATTATATTATTATTTTATCTTCATTTAAGTGTATTTTTTTTTTTTTTTAATTGAATTAATTTATTAAAGTTTAAGAAATTTATTGATCAGAAAGAAAGTGGTATATAAAATAAATTTATAGGGACATTTTCAAAGCTGAAAAGAAATGACAAGCATGTGAATTAAGAGAATAATTCAGGTTAGAAATTAAAAAGAGCAACTTCAGCAACAATTATCATAAGTGTACTTATCACATTTGGGCTGACTCTCCCATTGATGCCTTTTCTCTTTTCGACAAAATCCAAAAATAAAAATAGAAGTTACAAAAAAATTATTTATGTTCAAGGATTATCTTTTTCTGGATATATCTGGAATTCCTGATATTTTCTCTATTTTTTGTTTTTTCGGATATCCAAAATAGTTTCATTACATATAAGTTTAAGGATATAAATTTTTTAAATAAATTTTCATATATAAATAGATTTATGTATAAAGAATTGGAGAGAAAATCAGTGTATTAAGTTGAGATTATCAGGGAATTTTAAGGTTGTTTGGAAATATAGAATGTAAAGATGCAAACTATTTGGACCCAAAAACTTGATACCCAGAAAGGTAGCATTTAGCAAGGATGCTAAAACAACGACAGAAATAAAAATGTAATAACCTTGAACAGACATTCTGCCACTGTAACTGCCATTTTGTCTTTAGTGGCTATTACTTCAACCCACTTTGAAAAATAGTCATTAATAGTTAAAATGCATTTACAACCATTTTCACTAATTGGACTGAGTGGGCCAATAAAATCTATGCCAACCATATACCATGCAGCTTTTACCTTTATTGGGTGCATCTCTGGTTTTCCACAGTTTAACTTTCTATTCATTCTCTGGCATACATCACATGATATAAGCTGAAACAGAATAGAATGGTATAGCAATACTTTATTATAAATTATTAGGGAAAATCAAAATTTTCTCTATATACTCTAACGCATTATAATACAAAATGTAAATTACCAACTCATGGACATTTTTTGCCATTCCGTGCCACATGAAACGCTCTTTTACCCTGCCTAATGTCCTTGTTTTACCCATATGGCCAGAAGTAGGATGAACATGGCAAGCTACTAATATTTTTCTTCTCTCATCATGATTTATGATGTATCGCAGAAATAGTTCCTTTAAATAACAACATTGCATAAAAGTATTAATTTATAATTGTTAGTGTTTAGGTATTCAAGAATGGCTAGTGGCAGTCATCATGGCTATGTATGAAAATGTCTCAACAACAATCAAAACAAGAGATGGGCAGAATGATAGTTTTGAAGTAAAGGTTGGTGTGCATCAGGGTTCAGTGCTTAGTTCTTTGCTTTTTATTATTGTTTTAAAAGCTCTCTCTAAAGAATTCAGAGTTGGTTTACCGTGGGAGTTATTTTGTGCAGATAATTTGTGTCTGATAGCAGAAAACAGAAACAGAAGAGGAAATAGTATTAAGATTTAAAATTTGGAAAGATGGAATTGAAGCTAAATGGCTTAAGATAAACATGAATAAAACAAAAGTTATGCACTGTACAGTCAAGAATTAACAAGCAGAAAATACTGGGAAGTGGAGTGTCATGTGGAGTGTGTAGGTATGGAGTTAGAGCAAGTTTTATTGTTTTATTTAAATTTTATGTCATCAATAAGCTATGGCAAAAATACAGACAAATATAAAAACCAATTAAAGTTGCAAAGCAGAAATAAAAACAATTTACAATTTTATTTTTTTGAGCTATATTGCTATGTTATATGTTTCATGTATATTAATTTGAATATCATTTCTTAATTTAAAATTTAGCTTGCAGAAATTTCAAATTTAGGTTAAATTTGATGAATTAGGCTAAATAATGAATAATATTAACTGCTGTTTATTTTAGAATAAATAATTGTTATGAATAAATATTGATAAATCAAGCATTGAATTGTCAGTATTTGTTTATTACCTTGTTCAAATCAAATTAAATATACTCTGAAATTAGTTGTTAACATTTCAAGGATATTTACAATAATATATATACTAGTATAAAATAAATTTCTAACAAATACAATAAACAAAGTTAAAGATATAAACATAGTTAAGCTATCAAACAGTTATACAAATAAAGTAAAAAATAGTTTGAAAGTACAACACATCAATATAAACAACAATGAAAATAATAACAGTAACAATAATATGATATTAATACTCATTATCAAAATAAAAATAAACATCAGATCAAAATTAAAGCTAAAATATATCAATAATCAATAATAAATAATAATGATAGTAAAGTAGTTAAACATGTATTTACATAATATTACTATCACCTAAAAACATAATAATAACAAAATAATAATAATAACAACAACAACAATAATAATAATAATAATAATAATAATAATAGTGAGTGTGTATTTATATAAATATTGTTACCAATATTTATATATAAACGAGTTACCTTGTCTTTCTTTTTATACTTATATAGTAATTCCCCACCTTCCGAAATCATAAACTTTAAGGCTTTTTTTCTAATGACTCTTTTTTCGCCTTCTAGACTTCCATCAGGGTATTGCTTTTTTTCTTAAATAAGTAAAAACTTTTTGAACAAGGTCTTCTTCCATGATAATTTAAAAGATATATGCGCACATGCCACACACACGGACCAATTTTTTCTAGCTCAGACCAATTTTTTCAGAAAAAATTTATCCGGCCGGATATATATTTTCTGAGAAATTTAGTCCGGGGTCATTTTTATCGGCGGGCCAAAATTATCGTGACAGTGGTACACGCCGGCGTGAACGTGTTAATTTACCGAGACAGCGCATAATTTTTTATGTGCTAAGTTTTGTTTTTAAGGTAATTAGAACGTCTAAATTTGGTCTTTGGGACGTCAATAGGACGTCTGTCCTAATGTAGACGTCACAAGGACGTTCTACCAATGACGTCTTTACCGGACGTCTCTAGGACGTCCTAGTTTGGTCTGAGATGTCGCGACCTTGTTAAGACGTCCATAAGACATCTGATTGACGTCTGTGCCCGCTAGGTATGATCCAGGAGCTAATGATGTACAAATGATGTAGAGGGAATTAAAGAAGTATTGAAATCGATGGAGAAACATACGTGGTATTTGGATTAAACCTAGATCTAAACTTCACCCAGGAGAAACCACCTAGCTTGTCACAGTTGGTTGGTAGGAACTCGCTGTTTATTTTCAGTCTGTTAAATTTGAGTAAAGACGATGATGAACCTTGGCAGAACTGTCCTTCATCTTTTTGGGGCTTTATCGACCAATTTAAAACTTTAATTGAATTTATTCCCCGAGTAGATGTCGTCAACGACTGCTATGAACGAGCGATTAAGCTTGTGTCAGAGTTTCTTAATTCTGTTCACAATGATGAGGACAGGCAAGGTATGTTGGCCGTACAGCATAGTAGGGATCAATCAGGAAGTTCGAAAAAGTACAAATTACGGAAAGTGGCAAAAAAAATGGCGCTGACAAAGCATAGTTTGGAGAAAATTTATTCAATTTTTCACCAAAAGCACGAAAAGTTTGTTGAGTTATAGTTTTACAAACTGTTTTTGAACAATTTTTTTTTTGATTATATACTACTTTATCACTGTTGACATTACCAATATCGTTATATATATATATTTTTTTTTTAGTAGAAAATTTATTGTTTTACCTTAACTATAGCTTAATGATATTCAGCAAAATAAAATTGTTTCATTAAAACGCTTATTTTGCAGTGCCTATATGAAAATTTAATCAAACTATACGTAAAAATAAAACTTTAAGGCAGATGCTACATAAATATTCTGTAAAAAAAAGTAAAACAGATTCAGGAGAGGGTGTGAAAGAACCGAACTCTCCTCCACCCACTGCTAACCCTCCTATAGGGAGTCCCTATATTAGAAACTAACTTTAAAATTGAATTTTGGATCAAATTATTCTTTGTAAACAAAAACTTGATAAAGTTTGTCACGGAAAGTTTGAGAGATAAAAAATTGGTCAATAGATGTATCCATAAAATTACCTAAAAATAGAACGTTTCGCACATTTTTCCAGGGTGTTTTTTAATTTAATTTTTTTAGAATAAATAGTTTGAAAAAAAAGATTGTTTTTGTTTACGACACACGTTAGTTAAATTCGATCGCAAGCGTCATTCTATTTGAATATACTTAAAAATTATACTAAGTCTGTACGTTTTAAGTTATGTTTCTTGACCTAAATTAGTATATATTTTTTTATTGTAAACTTCCTAACCAATTCTAAATTAATATTCAGGCCTTTTAGAATTCATAGAACAAAAATTGGTGTTTTGTGTTAACTTTTAAAGTCCCCGCTTTTTGAATAAAAAAGTTTGGATTTTGGGGCACAAATTGTAAAAGCAGGGACCTTAAAAATAGGTTTCAAAGAAATTTTATCAGCGTAAAATCATTTTTATCCATGAAATTACGGGAAAATAAAACACAGTGAGGTTTATTAGTTACGTCAAGATAATTTTTTTTTTTTTAAAGTTATTAAGGTGCTTCAAAAAACTATGTTAATAGAAAAAAAAAATTCTAAATTATTTGCAAAACTGTCAGACATGTAAAAAAAATATTTATTTAAAAATAATATTTTCATCAAAATAATTTTTTACCTACATGTAGGTGTTCTTGCAAACTGAAAACTTGTTTACAAGAATACAACAGTTTCCAAGTAAAAATATATATATTAAAAATGAAAACGAAATATTCATAAATTAATTATCTGATCACTTGATTGGGACAAGGTGGCTTACTATACGTTATCTTTCAGTTTTGTTTCCACCTATTTATTTTAATTTTTTTATTTTTTCTTTAAAGACGTCATAGAAAGCCATCTTAAGCAGTCTTCCTTCAAACATCAAGCGACATATTTTTTTAAAATGAAAATGTAACTTTTATGTACTTTAATCAAATTTGACGTTTGAATATCAATTTAAAAAATAAGATTTATTTACTTTTGTAAAATACTGTTAAAATACTATAAGTCTTTTTGATTCATCAGCTTTCAAGCAAAATTAAAATTTTATGTTTCGTCAAAGATCTAATGCTTCACAACCTTTTTTTTTCAATGACATTTGTAAAACTCTGCTTTGCTTTAAGAAGCTAAGTACTTCTTTATAAATTGTTTTATCTGTGTTTAATATGTTTTTCAGATATTCATTTTCTCTTAAAGTTATGTTATAAAAAAGTTTATCATCAACTTGGTTCTTTAAGAAAGCATTACGATTCAAAAGTATGTTGAAATATATATAAAAATACTCAAAAATGTTTAAGAAAAAACCGGCACACGATACTAAAACACCAAGTATAAATATAAACCATAAAACCACCATTACGTATTGATACAAAACATTAGGACTGATTTCACATATAAACTTATGATTATTAACATATTGATAGCGGTTGTTGTTGGATGCCGCTGGTATTTCACATAAAGCTAATACAGGTAAAAGTACATCGCCAGGATTTGAAATATTATGTTGGCCAATGTCATGAAAACCGAATTTTTGTTTGTTTTGCACCCATTTTATCCAGTCTACACCATACGTCAGGTATTTATTGTTTAACAACAAATTTGTTACTAGAAAACCAAATAAGTTTACGATGACGTACAGCAACTTAACTATTATACTAAGAATTGTTTTAAAACCTAGTTCTAGTTGTCCACCATTTACTTTATAATTAAAGTAAGTTTCAACAATCTTTTTTGGACATGTGGTTCTTGAGGCAATTAGTGTCTTCAAATTAATAATGTCTGTATTTATTACCCGGAAAACTATATAAGGGAGGTAGTAAACTACTGCTAACGAACCAATATAAAATGGAAAGTATTGGTATTGAAAGAAAAATATTTTCGCCATTGGAATACAATTTTTTTCACTCTTTGTATTGCACAGTTCGTCATTTTTTATTCCATCCATTTCAATGTTGTGCGGTATTCCAAAGTATCTGCAATTTTTTGAGCACATTTTGCTTAACTCGACGAAATTGTATAAACCCTGGATCCAGCAAGTGCGATGAACAAATTCCTGATCTAGAAGAAGTTTTGATTTATAATAACATGATATATTTGAGTTAAAAAAGTCTAAACTCATAATGAAAGCAGATATTAGAAATATTTTTGTCATAAATATACGACTAAATTGATCAGTGTAAGCATCGTGTCGATTTTTAAATTTAATAGAAAGAATGTCTTTGATATTACCAGTTATAAAAGACATTGCTGCAAACTTTTACTAAACTTATTTTTTATTTTTTTTTAGTAAGAAGGTAATCTGTTTTGACTTTTTTCATTAAATCATTAAATGTATGCGCTGATAAATAAAAATGATAAATACGAATAGAGACCATATGGTGTATTAGAAAGCCATGGTTACTTAACACATTGTCTCAAGATAAAGTTTTATTAAACTATTCTTTTGTCGTTATCTAAAATGATCTGAATGTTAAAAACAATTTTCTCAACTTAAAAACAACTTAATATTTATTTTTAAAGGAAACTTTAATATATTTAAAACATAACGTTAAAACTCAAAAAAAAATTTTTATCTGACTAAAGAGTTGGATAGCACCCAGTCTTTTCCCTTTTAAAAAATGTATTTATAACGTTATAAACAATATGTAAAAAGATAATAAGTTAAATTTTATAATGAATTGATAATGAAATTATTGCTAAAATTTTTATTTTTTGGAAAATACAAAAATTTATAAGGAGTAATACTTGATTTAAAGAGTGATAACTAAGATTAAAGAAGGAATAACTAAACCTATAAAATTGCTTTTCTTATATATAATTATATATAAGTATATAGTATAAGTATATTGTATATATAATTAGTATAAGTATATAGTAGTACCTATAACTAACCTATATAGTATATAGTAGTACCTATAAGTAACCTATATAGTATATAGTAGTACCTATAAGTAACCTATATAGTATATAGTAGTACCTATAAGTAACCTATATAGTATATAGTAGTACCTATAAGTAACCTATATAGTATATAGTAGTACCTATAAGTAACCTATATAGTATATAGTAGTACCTATAAGTAACCTATATAGCATATAGTAGTACCTATAAGTAACCTATATAGTATATAGTAGTACCTATAAGTAACCTATATAGTATATAGTAGTACCTATAAGTAACCTATATAGTATATAGTAGTACCTATAAGTAACCTATATAGTATATAGTAGTACCTATAAGTAACCTATATAGTATATAGTAGTACCTATAAGTAACCTATATAGTATATAGTAGTACCTATAAGTAACCTATATAGTATATAGTAGTACCTATAAGTAACCTATATAGTATATAGTAGTACCTATAAGTAACCTATATAGCATATAGTAGTACCTATAAGTAACCTATATAGTATATAGTAGAACCTATAAGTAACCTATATAGTATATAGTAGTACCTATAAGTAACCTATATAGTATATAGTAGTACCTATAAGTAACCTATATAGTATATAGTAGTACCTATAAGTAACCTATATAGTATATAGTAGTACCTATAAGTAACCTATATAGCATATAGTAGTACCTATAAGTAACCTATATAGTATATAGTAGTACCTATAAGTAACCTATATAGCATATAGTAGTACCTATAAGTAACCTATATAGTATATAGTAGTACCTATAAGTAGTATGAGTTTTGCATCAATTTTCCAAAATCAATTTCTTGGATTAAATTCGCGCTTAAACAAATTTGTGATTGAGCAAGTATTAACAATTTTTTTCATTTTTCCATAAACTGAAACATTCTTTTAAAAGTGAAATATTTTTAAATCGTTAAAATAACCTGGGGTTTAAGCATCAGTAAACAGTGGCGTTCAAACCTTATTAAACAATGGGTACTTCTTTACTCATTATCCAATTTTACTCTTATATTTATTAAAAAAATATATTATTGAAGTTATTTTATTAAATTATAAAATATAAATTTGTTAAGAAAAAAGTTTTTATTTAAACTCTAAAAACTTTAAAACCTTTCTTAAATATCTGAATTTAAAAAATTTTAAATTAAAAAAATTGTTAAACTCTTGAAAGAAATTAATTTGCAAAGTTCAAGTTTATAATTGTACCGAACTTTGAGCTTATGATTTTAGACTAATAAGAAAACGACGATTCATTTTTATTATAATTACGTAAACATTAATTATTGTCATATAGCCATTTTAAAACAAATGTTTTAATAAATTTATTAAAAAACCAAAAATTTTTTTTAAGGTTGAAAATTTCCGCAAAATTTCCGAAAATTTTCAACCCTAATAATTTGCGGAACAAGTATCAGAACAAACAAGCTATTAATTTAAGGTGAGTTTCCACTCATACGATTTTCTACGGGAAAGGGAAAGGGAACGAAAAAATAATCACGTGAGCATGCGCAGTTTTCTTTCGGACAAATAAAAACTTTTATTACGCATGCTCACGTGATTATTTTTTACTTTCCTATCCCGTTCCCGTTGAAAAATTGATGAGTGGAAACTCGCCTTTATTTCTTCTGTTACTTGTTCGCAAAATATTAGGGTTGAAAATTTCCGGAAATTTTGCGGAAATTTTCAACACTAGTTTTTTTAAGATACCGTTAGTTTAGAAAAATATTTTCGTTTGCAATGCAGAAAGTATTGCGGCAATAAAAATATATTAAAATAAACTTAGACCAATGACTCCTGAAAGAAATTAATTTTCAAAGTTTAAATTTTTAATTGTACCAAACTTCGAGCTTAGGGTTTTAGAGATTTTAGTGAGACATTGCTAAAAAAAAAACTGACGCACAATTTGTGCGTCACGTTTTTGCACGTTTTGTTGTTGCACGTTTTGTTGTTGTTAAGTAAACATTTAACTATTGTCATGTTACCATTTTAAAACAAATATTTCTATAAATTTGTTAAAGTTGACTATTTGCTGGCCAGGGTTAAAGTTTCAGAATTTCTATATATTTGTTATCCTGTTTAAGAAATTTCATTTCTTGAGTAATTAAGAGAAACAGTATTACCTAATAAATATTTAAAATTAAAAAAAAAAACTGCTGAGTTGTAATAACCTCACATTAGAGTTAATCATTTTAGATGAAGATGTAGATAATTACAAGGATTACCTTTACATCCTAAACCGCATAAATGTAACGGGTTTTTTTATACATAATTTACCAATATAAACATATATCCGACAAAAATGTATATACAGCTGTTAATTTACAAGTTTTTTTTCTTAATGTCACACTTTTTTATTTAGATATTTAATTAGAAGGTTTATGGTTTGGCATTGTTATGGTTGATTTCCAAAAAATTTATCGTTTCTTTGTCAAATCTTGTCTTTTTTAACCACCTTTGTACGTCACTATATAGCGATAGATCTTTATTACGAATGTAACGCAAATATTCAATTTCTCTTATTGACAAATTATTATGAACCATGTTAATTTTTTTTCCGTGACATTTAAGGAAGTTTAAGTAAATTACAACATAGGATGATATGTTTAGCAAAAGTCCTAAACATGAAATAGCAATTCCTATCGTAAAAATGAACCATAAAACAAGCATGACGTATTGATACAAGATATTAGGACTTATTTCACATATGAATTTATGTTTATTGTTCAAATTGGATATCTTATCCATGATTCCCTCGTAAATTTCACATATCCCCATAGCTGGAAGAATAAGATTTCCAGGTTTAGCAGTGTTAACAGAGTTGTTTGATCTTGACCATTGAACCCATTGAAGACCGTAGGATTTATAACGATAGTTAAGCAAGACATCAGTACAAAAAAAACCAACTACGTTGACTATTACGTACAGAGTTTTTACTCCAATATTTAGAATAACTTTTACGCGTAACTTTGATCGTCCACCGTTCATTTTGTAATTAAAATAAGTTTCAACAATTTTTTTCGGACAAGTAATACTAGTACATTTCATGTATGACTTGAGGCTAGTGAGGTCTGAATTTATAACGCGAAAAAAAATATAAGGAATAAAATAAAATACCGATAACGACGCAATATAAAATGGGAAATACTGATACTGTACAAAGAATACTTTTGTCATTGGTAGACAACTACTTCCGGCTTTTGTGTTGCATAATTCGTTTTTCTCGTTTCTTCCATCCATTTGAATTTCTTGTGGAATTCCAAAATATCCACAGTGTTTGGTGCAGTTATTTAACTCGGCAAATGTATAAAAACCCTGAATCCAGCAAGTACTGTGGACAAATTCGGAAGTCATTCTAGAGTCGCTTTGTATACAAGCTACTTTGTCATTGAAGAAATCAACACTCATAATCAAGGCAGATATAATGAACATTTTTGTCATAAATATTCGACTGAACTGATCAGTATAAGCATCATGCCGGCTTTTGAGTTTAATTGAAAGTATATCTTTAATGCTGCCTGTTATTAGAGACATTGCTAAAAAATTGGTTGAATTCGTATAAATTTATTAAGTTTTATTTGATTTAATGTTAGTTTGGCGTTAAATCACATATGAAGTTGTGCGTTAAATATTTTGTTTAATTGTACTTTTCATCTTTCACGTTTTGATATTGTTTAGTGATTATTTAAATTTCAATGAAATTTTTATAGTCATTAAAAATTAAAATAAAATTTCCGATAAAGAAACGATTACAACTGATAATTTACAGACATTTTATATTAAAAAATTTGAATAAAATATCTACATAGTTGCGTACACGCGCAAACCCGTGTGCATACCCGCATTCATGTTGCATATTATGTGAAACGGCCTAGTATGACGCATAGGACCAGTTTATATTAAAACAAAAAAGAAATGTTTATCTTGTGTTTTAAAAAAAATAATTCTGATAGAGACGAAAGTTTAAATAAAATATTTGCCATATGGTCGGTTTTATTTATATTTTTCTTAACTGACTAAAAAAGATCAGATAGTAAAGTTCGACGAATACTTATTCAAAATATATATGCACGCACACACACTCTCACAGATATATTTTCTTTCACAACAAAAATTGAATAAATTAAAAAAATAATAATGAAAGTTAGAAAGAATTACTTTGTACTATCGGTCTGAAAGATATTTCTTTACACTTTGCTGTTTGTAAAAAAAAATATTTTGATATAAAAGAATTATTTACCTTAAGCGGTATGCCCCCCAATAATTTAGGATATTTTGTAAAAATATTTCACGAAAATAATAGAGTTGTTTTTAAATCAAAATTTAACGTAGAATCCGAACTTAGATGATTTAAAACCTAAATGTAAGCAATTTTGTTTAATAATTGAATTTTGTTTATCGCATAATAATAACCATATAAAAAATTGTTCACTAACCAATATATATCTAGACTCTAATATAGCCCTTTAATAGGACTTTTAAAGAACTTTTACGATGAAAATCAACCTCATTTGCTTCACTACTTGAAAATTTCTATAAAAATGGTTGACTTGAATTTATTATAAATAAAAAAATACCACATTGTTGGGTCGATTGTTAAAGATTTAAGATTATTGTAAAAATATTGTAAGACTATTTTAAATAAGTTATTACTATGGGAAAGAGAGCAAAGCAAAACACTAAACGTTTATATTCTCGTAAAAGAAGATTCTATGGGAACAAGCATACAACATCAAATGAAACAATCATTGAGAGTCATCGACTATTATCGATGTCTCTCTGACCAACAACAAAACGCCAGTGCAGCTCCTCGCTCTAGTTCTATTAATCAAGAAAATCCTGCTCTTTCTTGCTCTGTATCAAAGAAAAAAGTTGAACAGATTGACTTTACAGAAACTATAAGTGAAACAGTTGAAGGATACCAATTTGTTGATGTTTCTATTTTAGCTGAAGTTTTTAGTAAACTGTGCTGCTCAGAATGTCAAAATGGGAAATTGTTGCTGACCGAAAACTTTGCCAAAAAGAAAGGGTTAGCTTCATCAATGAGTGTATCATGTAAATGTAGTTAAAGCCACTGGAAAGCCACTCATGTCTGTATCAATAATTATCGTGGTTCAGCGCCTGCTATGGAGCGTGAAGATACTAAGAATATATTTGAGCAATCAATAGCAAAACATGGTCTCAAATACACAAACTTTTATGGCGATGGAGACAGCAAATCTCTTAAAAATAAAGCAATTTTTGCTAGCCTGTTCCATGTAGCATCATCCAAAACAAATCAGTGGCATGATCATTGCCCTAAAGCAAAAAATAGCTGGTGCTTGTTTCAGCGGGATAAAATAAACAAAACAACAATGTATAAACCAGATGTTGGATTGGCTTTGTCTGTAGTTGTTCATGTAAAACCTATTTACAAAGATTTAAGTGAACACAGTTTATTATCGATGTGTCTCCATGGATTGACGCAGAATGCCAACAAGTCTTTCAATGCCATGATTTGGGAGCATGTCCCTAAGATTCGCTTTGTTGGTTTTAAAAAGCTAAAGTTTGGAGTTTTTGATACTGTGGCTAGTTTTAATATTGGTAGCAAAGCATCCTTGCAAATTATGGAAGTATTGAACTTGATCCCTGGCAATTATACAACAAATAGATGCATCACTATTAACAACTCCATACTGCGTCAAGCGCAGTACAAAAATACTGACAAAGTTAAACTTCGTAGAAAGATAATTTGCGGGAAGAAAAAGTCATCTGATGAAAAATATTCAAAAAGAAGGGACTACTTATGAGCCTGGAGCTTTTGTATAATTGTTTCTTAATATACAAATAATAATATTATTGTTTTTCATGTTACATTTAAAGCTGAAGTGATTTGTACACAATTTTGAACTTAAAAGTTCTTTTTCTCAAAATGATAGTTTTTTTCGATGAGTAAACATTAGCAAATTATATCTTTTAAGCTATAAATGTAGTGGTGAAATTTTTAGGGTATATTCTTATGACTTGTACTTGCAATTTAAACTAAAAGCATTTGAGTTAGGTCTTTTAAATCAAGAAATATTTTATATTTTATATTGTCCCTATTTTAAAGTAATTTTATCAAATACTATGGGCAATCGAGGCAAAAAATTTAAAAAATTTTTAGTTTAAGTTTTAGATCTTACTTAAAAGAGTCTTGTGTCAAAATATTATTTAAATATATTTAAAAGTTCTTAAGTTATCAATTGCTAAAAAAATTGACTTTTTCTTGAATTGCAGCCATTATGGACAACTGCAATGGTTTTTTTAATTTTTTTTAGATAATGATGCACTAATTTTGTAGGATCTACTATAAAATATATCGTTTCATTGAATGCAAAACGAAGTTGTCATTTTAGGTTTAACAGGGGACATACCCCCTGTATACCCCCTGAATAAGAATTACTTAGTACTATCGGCCGCTAATTGTAACAAACCTGTTAATGTTGTCTTTAACAATTTAGCTATGGCCTTTGACAAGGTGCCACTCAAAAGACTTATACATAAATTAAAAGCTTACAGCATAGAAGGAATACTCATAGAATAAATCAAACTATGGCAATCCGGGCGTCTACAGAGAGTTACAATTGGACATGAAAAATCTTAATCAACAAGTGGAGTTCCTCAAGGATCCGTTTAAGGCTCCTTTACTTTTTGTGATATACATCAACAACTTTCCAGATAACATTTCCAATTATGTAAAACTATATGCAGACGGCAGCCAAATAATGATAATTATAAAAATACCAGCTGATGCGCTAGCCTTGCAAAACGATATTGACAAAACCGTTGAATGGACTAGAAATTTGCGAATGTTTTTAAATCTTGATAAGTTAAAGGTTATCCATGTTGGTTGCAAAAAAGGTCAAGATGGACTTCGTCATTCATTAAAAACGGCGAATATTTTACACTTTATACATTCGATCTCGTCAAGAGTTCGCAATGCAAGCCTGGTCACCACACATTAGTGGTGATATCAACAAATTAGAGCAAACTCAACATCGTGCTACAAAATTAGAAAACTCCATGAGACACCATAGTTATGAAAAAAGATTAGAAGCACCAGGACTGAAAACACTAGAAGAGAGAAAGAAAAGAGAGGTTTTCATAGAACAATTCAAAATTAATCTAAACCTTAAACAAGTTGATTTCTATGTACCACAACGTTATCTCTTTTCCAAATTAATGTCATAAGGCCTAAAATGTAACCACGAGTTTGTAATTCAACCACAACAAGTTAAAAAGTAATGCAAATTGGTAGTTGCAAAAACTAATTAATAATGCTGTTGCTGACATTGACGGTAACGGATGCAATATAGTTCTAAAATGCATTGAGCGAGACCTTGGAGTACAAATATCCGAAAACTTCAAAGTACAACTAGAAGCAGCAGCTTGGGTTAGCAATCCAATGCTTGGTTGTTTCAAGTCATTTCTGTGTTAGAGCTATTTAGCTATAGAAAAACTGTATCAGCTCATCTATAGTTTTGTGTACAAGCTTAATCAACTTTAAAACTTGACCTTCTTTAAAATTTCTGTAATCAAACGTGTCCAACAGCGCGCATTATCATCAATAAAACTTTTTTTTTTTTTTTTTTAGTTATTTAGGTGCTTCAAGAAGTCCTTATGGTCTTATCACAGAGCACCGCGGAAGTGCATCTAACCAGAAAGTTCACGCTTCCTTCCTTACCGTGACGCAAAATATGTCCAAGGCTCGTTTCGAACCAGGATCTCCTGCTTATAAAGCAAGCGCTCAAACCACTGCGCCACGGCTGCTAGATTTTATCTACGATCAAAAAATAAAAATACTCGGCTTTAACACTCGAAGAACTCAGTTACCTCATAACGCAATACAAAATTGATTGTCATTTACAGTATTTTGAATTTTATATTTCTATAACTACAGTCTTTCTCATCAAACTTAGAATAAAATTTAAGAAAAAATGGCCTGTTTAAAGTTAAACAAATCAAATGTTATCCAGAATTTCACCACTTTTTTATACACCGCTTTGCGAACCATCAGAATAAATTAACTCACAATGTAATTGATAATGTCACTAGAATAAACCTTTATAAAAAGTATATTTATGATGCTATGTCAATCAATAATATATGAAAGCCTGGTGTTTTCTTCATCAATGTTAAACTTTTTTATATATAAGTTAATTTTTTTTGTATAGATATATTTTTTATGTACAAGTTATGCATAATTGTTTATTGTAATAAATAAATAAAAAAAATATATTTTAATTTTTAGGTGCTGTTTCGCTAGATGGTAAATTTTACTTTACAGGCTTTCGTACATAAAATGTTCAGCTCTATAAAACTAATTTCAAATTGGTCATGGGAAATTAATGCTCCTCTAAAGCCGTTAATTTAGTTTCAACCAAAAAATTGGACTATTGTGAGCCGATGGCTCGTCTTGGCTATGAAACAGTATTTTTAGCAAAGAGAATGATGATAACGAAATTGGAAATGCAGTTTTTTCCATGAATTTCCCGAACATAAGTTTGAAGTGAATATCTTTAACGTTGCGCTTTGTCATTTAGTTCAATAAATCCAATTTAAAGTAAGTATTGTGAAAATGTTTTTTTTAGATTTTCATTCTTCTAATTGCAGGATCAGGACCGGTAAAAATAGAAGCTTGTAAAACAGAAGA